AATGAGAGACTCTGCCAAAGCCTCAAAGAGAGGAGACGGATTGTTCCTGATCTCTGAACAGCCAATAGCCTCAAGGCTGATATTTAGAAAGCAGTTAGGAAACCTAGCTTGCCTTGTCCTGTTCCAACTAGGGATCAGATGGCTGGTGCTGGGGCTTAAAACTGAAATGCAGTACTTCCTTTTGATTTGTTGGCCAAAAGTGGTGAGGTTCCTTCTCTGTAGTTGTAGTTGGTGGTGGTACTGGTTGACTTGCTCCAAAAGCAAATGCTATATCTGTTGTTATTTTTCATAGCTGTGGTATTTAATATTCTTTCAGAATCCTTCCCTGAAAAAACTGAAATATCTTAAAGGTCCCGCAAAGCCTCTGTTTTCATGTCCTGACTGGCAGACTGTAAGAGCATGTGTTTTTCCTTCTAGAGCACCTAGTTCTCTTCCAAGAAAATTTCTTTTTTGTTTGGGTCAAATAATTTTCCATTCTGTTTGGATTTTATTTTTCTTCAGGATCTGTGCTGTTGTATGTGTTGTTGAAGTTCCTTGCACTTTTAAAGATTCATAGTGTCGAGGAAAATAGTAACAGGATGGCTTGGACTGCCACAGCTGTTTCACTTGTGTTAGAAATGTTCTAATTCATAGTCAGGTGGGTTTTGTTGTTAAATTAACAAGCACAAATGGGCCGCCAGAGACCTGCACCTTTCAAATTGTTAATTAAATCCTTATTGAAGACTTTAAACCCCAATGGCTTTATGTAAAATATAACAAGGGAACAGGTATGGCAAGGGTTATTATAGTTTGATATAGTTAGTACGTTCATAACTGTAGAATGGATATCTGATTCAAAAATAACTTGTTCTACAAACTACATATAGGAAAGAGCACTGAGGTCAAGGAAGACGGAGAGATTTTGTCTCTGAGGATCTGGTAGAATAGTTGCTCATTAAACTCTGGAAGGGTGGGAGAAGTTCATGTAAGTTGGGCAGCACCTAACATCAGTTCTGGACTCTTCTGCAGTACTAATGTTAAATAATACCTATATGCATAAGAATAGGGTATATACATTAACGGTTTTGTTGCATGTTTCAGGAGTTTTATGTTCTACCCCACAGCAAGGCTTCATTTACCATTTTTCTTTTTGGCGTCGATTTTTATGATTTGATATTTGTAGTGAGTGATGAACAGACTTTTACTTTCTGATGCAACATTTTCTTCCCATGAGAGTTGTCCTACGTTATCTAGATGTATGATGGTCAGGTTTAATTTATGGGCTTCTTGTTTATATGGTGCTTTAAGTCTATAGCATGCTTTTATATTAACCAAGAGGAATGCATCTGTTCTCACAGAGTCCTTCGTATCTTTACACTAGCATCTCTGGCTGCTACCACACTGTGGATGCTAACAATCCAGCCTCCGCTGGTCTCTGTAGGCATTATCAGAACAGAACTATTTGTAACTACGTGTAAGTTGTTCAAACCATCTCGTCAATGAGTGAGTTTACTCGATGTACATTCAATCTCTTTGCTCTAGCGGAGAGCTAGAATATTCATTTATTTTGCTATTCATTTCATGTCAGTAGCAATACTGTGGAGGGCAGGAACTGTGCTTTGTCCCCTGGAAAATCAATCCAGCTGGATGTAAAGTAGCCAAAGCACAGTAATTTTGAAAACAGTGTGGTTTAAACTCAAACATGTGGGTCTTGGCTTTGGTTGCCTTCTAGTGATTTTATGTAACCTCACACACCTTATTTTCAAGGACTGTGGTGGCAGCGTGTATACTGCTTGGGGGTTTTAATAGTTGGCCTTGATTAGTAGGAAGGAATGGGTAGATGGGCCAGTAACATGCCACAGTGAGCAGAGAAGGCACTTAATTTTGTCATCTCACTCATCTACTTTACAGAGGGATCTTTTCCCAAATCTTTCTGGATTCCAAGATGGAGGAGTATCCTGCTCAGATTTTAAAATTCCCTGACAAGACCGTGATTTCCCTGTGATACTGAATGCATCATATTCATTTTTAAACATTTCACTTCATTAATAGAAAAATTAATGAATCATGGCAGATAAATGTGACCTATGTAAAATAGAGATGAGCACAGGAAAAATTTGGTTAGTAGTGGCAGAGAAAAATCTACTTTCTTATACAGTAGAATTTTGAGTTGCTTTTTTATAGTCTGCTTTTGAGTTGCAGAAATCTAATTTTATTCCCTTCACTGATAAGGTTTCATTTTTCTAGTGATTAATATCTTAGAGAGTTTAAGAACTGAAATTATTTTTCTTTAATTCAATCATCATGTTAGATAATGCTAAAACTTGAGTAAACTAATATTTTCCCATGTGCACCTCTGTATAGTGCTTACTGCATTGTCTAATTGTGCTGAAATCCATAAAATGTTCTGCATCACTTTTCTTTCAGAATTCTAACTTTTGTGGCAATTTTTACAGTGTGAAAGAAAAGCTTTCCCAAGCATTGAAAGCACTTTGTATTCATTCAGACTGAAGCTTTTAAAGTAATAACACACATTTGTTCCTGTTGCATATAAACAGCCTCATTGCATTTTCTTGTGGGTGGTTTTGTTTTAGGATTCAGAATCTATTCAATATCATATTTCTGCGTATTGATTGCAATGCATTAAGCTATTCTCTCGAATGGCACATTCCGGAAGGTGAAAACTCTCTTTCCAGTAGCCTGTGCTACTGGAGGTTACTGTAAATCTGTGAAAAGGATTCCAAGTTAATCATTTCTTACTTTCCTCTGTTAGTTGCCAGATAGGGGCTGAAATCTCCTGGGGTTTGAATTACCTAGGGGATGTTTGCTTTCGTCCTCTTGATCATCTCCTAGCACATGCTTGCCCAGTTTCTACTGGTGATGGGTTTCACATGCTTACAGATTTTTTTAAATGTATTTCTTACACTGCAATATTCAATACCCATGAATTCTTCTTCCAAAAAGTGAACTCAATTTCTTCCATAGTCTATGATGTTGGCCCAGAACTCTCAGGTACAGAACTAAAGTCTCAAATTACCTTAGAGGACCCAGTTGTATTTTCCTATACTTGATTTTAAGAGTTAAACATCATCCTATAATCAAAGCTGTTCAGACAGCATCAACTCAGCCATGCTGAGAGCTGTGTCTTCTGTTCCTCATTCCCTGGTTTTTTTGTGCAAACTACTGTAGGCACGTAACCAAAATGTGAGAGATGCAACGGGAGTAAGATTTCCTATTAAAGTGATAGTGTTGGAATTTTTTGAGCTCTTTGCTTGATTTCCTATCCCCATGTGCTAGCTGTAGTTGTGTGTGGTTTTCATTTGTAACTGTTTGTGATGGGTAAACTGCCATTGTGAATCTGAAGGTGTAATTGCTTGCGTCATCTTTTATATCATTAGTTGTTCTAAAGAAAAAATTAACTTCCTGGGTTTCCCTTCCTTGTCTCTGGGGCACAAACTGATGCATCAAGGCTTTTATATTTTATGGTGTAAAGGTATTCTCCGTTTACCTTTTCCCCTTCAATTTCTTCTCAATTTATTTGTTGCTGACTTTATTAGTAGAGCTTATTAATTATATATAACATAAGAACAGATGCTATGCTTAATCATGCATTCAGTTAGCATTTTCATACTTGTAGGTGTACCGTGAAGAAGAAATTACCGCTTTCACGCAACACAACCAATCCCTGGCTAATTTCTCCTGGAAAAGGAGAACAATCTGCATTCTTTGCATAGTGACGCTGCCTTTCACTATGTTCAAGATCTACTGTCATTCATAATAAAACAGATAAGTAATTGTAGAATGATAAAGAAATGGAAGCTTTCACTTTGAATTTCCTCAGATTAGGAAATCATCCCTTAGGCTATTTGTGACAAACTTTTTTTCTCCTTTTTGTTTGACTAGACCTCAGGTTTTATTTTGTATTTTCTCCAGATGTAGGATAACTTAGGGGAATTTTAACAGTCATTTTAGAACTGAGTTGTCACTTACATAGATGAATTATTTGGTTAGCTCTCTTGTCAGTCCTTATCCTAGCTACATGCAATGTCAATCTTCTATTTGCAGCACATTTTCATAAATCAAAGTGATTCTAATATTAATGAAGAACACATAGATAAAGCTGCCAAGAAAGGATAATGAGTTGTTGTGTGTCTAGAGTGCAACCTGTAAATATGTCTTTGCATCTTAAAAAAAAAAAAAAAAAAAAAAAAGACGACGACTGATTACAAACAAAAACAACGGTTCAAGGTGGTGGCAGAGAGTCGCTATGCTTCATCTC